ATTAGTTAAGAAGTTGCGTTGGCCATTCATCCCCCACTTATGGAAGTGGGAGTCTTCTGGCTGTTTAGGATAAATATAATAAATCTAATTATGAAAAAAAAGACTCCCATTTCTAAAAAAACCCCAACTACTACCCCTAAAAAAACTAAAAAAATTCCGGCTGTTGAACCTATTACCCCCATTGTGCCTGACGAAACCGAAAACATTACTTCCGAAACTCCTCACCAACTCAGTTTGCGAACTCGGGTAAGAAAATTTCTACTTGCTAATTGAGAATATTTTCTTAATAACAAATTAACTACTCTCGTTGGGATAGCACTTATTATTGTGGTTTTTTCCACCATTGTGTATCCATGGATAAAGGAAGAGAGATTAGAAGAAAACGAGCAAAAAAAACAAGCCGTAGCATTTTTAGAGAAAAAGTTGATTGCTCTTAAAATTCATTGTGAAAAGTGTGAACAAATTGTAAACGGGAAAGAAGAAGAGGACTTTAATGCATTAGAAAAATTCTACAATTACGAGATTAACAGTGCCAACAACCCCCTTTATAGTGAGGAACTAATTAATTATTCTCTAATGTTTGCCAAAATAAAAGAGGTGGTAGCAAAAGGAAAGGATGTATTTGCTACACTTCGCAAAGATAATGAAGATGCATACCAAAGAGAAGCAATTGAAGCATGGCAACCAAAAATCAATGCTGCACGAGAAATAAAAGTAGGAGCAATTATGGAAGAAATCGAAAAACAAGAGAAAGAGTTAATTGAAAAAGAAGATGAAGTAAAAGTTATTGAAAACCGCTTGTCCGGAAGTGAACTTAAACCAGCAAGAGATAAATACACAGTGTTTTTTTTCTCCCAAGGAGCATTAGAATTAACGGTAAAGGTAAAGGAAGGGACAGAGTTGAAAGACCAAGCAGTAACCAAATCCCCCCAAAAGTGAATAATTGCTACTCGAGATAGATTAAAATTAATTGAGGAAGCCAACAAAAAAGTTGAAGAATTTGAAGATTATTTTGCTTCAAAAAATCCTGAAGAAACTACGGAAGACGAGAAAAAAATACTCAAAATTGGAGGCAAAACCCTAACTGAAATAATATCTATATCTGACAAAACCAACGACAGCCAAAAGGATTGGAAAAAGGATAATTATGACACCAAAATTACGGAATATGACACCAAAATTACGGAATATGACACCAAAATTACGGAACTCATAAAGAAAATAACTAGTGAGGAGTGGCAAGATAAAGGGATTGCAGAAGCAAAAGACGAGGTCATTAAGGCTATTGAGCAAGTAACGGCCGGGGAAGTGGAAAAAAACGAAGAAGGCACACTTGCTAAAATCGTAAAATGGTTCAAGGTCAATATTGTTTTCGGAACTGATTGAGCAAGCCGAATCAACAACTGCGAAAACAAGCAGCAAATCGCTGCCCTCATTTCTGAAATGTTTGATAATTCTTATGAAAAAGCAGTAGATAGTTTAAAAAAGAATATTCTCGACGAAATTGACGAACAACAAAAGGAAGACAAAATAAAGATTGACCTCACAAAACACTTCAACGATAAGAAAATTGGCAGCATGAATTTAGACAGTATTCTTGGGGAAAATTGAAAAACAGCAATAAGAGATACGAGGGAGCAGCAAGGCAAAAGCGAAAGCGAAACATTGATAGCAAGCCTTTTTGAGAAAATTGATAATGCTGTTATAGAAGAGCGACTAAAGCAATCAGCAAAAGAAAATGCTACCGCAAATTTTATTAATTTGTTTGCTGAGAAGAATGACAATTTTGTTCGCGAGTTTTTCCAAAAATTCCTGAAAACTGAAATCCCCGAAAGTGAAACCAATGTCGAAACATTTTTAAAGACCAATGCCCCTAAAATTTTTGCGAACTTAAATACTCCTGAGGAAATTACGAGCAGGTTTAACGAACTGAAAAATCAAGGCAAACAGCAAGAAGAAGAGCAAGAGCCGAAAGACGATGATAAACAGCAAGAAGAAGAGCAAGTTTTTCGCCTTTGTCTTGATAGAAGGCAAGAGCAAGAGGATAAGCCTTATCACTTTTTTTACCTAGTTCTTTT